GGACACTGCCCACATGGAGTCCCTTTCCCTCCTGGTCAGATGCCTATATAGCTCCTACCCTCAGCTTCCGGTCTCTACAAGGAGCCTCCTTCATGTCCTGTCTTTAACCCCATGAGGAGTGAAGTCATACTCTACAAAGGATTTCTGAGCATGCAAAGCTGGTAGGGTGGAGCACGGAGGGAGAATAACCTCATAGGGATTCAGTCCTCAGAACCTCCTCCCCCATCCCCCTCCTGTCCCCTGTCCTGCTCCCTCCTTCCCTCTCACCTCAGTCCTCTCTGTGAGGTGGAGGGAAGGAAAGACCAAGGGCAATGGGTGGAAATGGAAGTCGAGGTCAGCCAAGGAGGGACGTCTGGACTAGAGGGGATGAGATCCAGAAATGGTGAGGCGGGGGCCACAGAATAAGACAGGCCCAGGAGGTCACAGAGACAGACGTGGAGAAATACACAAGGAGCAACTAGAGATTTAAAAGCAGTATTGAAGGAGGCTGCAGAGGGAAGGCAGCCTCCACCCGCTCCTCTTCAGAGAGCCAGAGGGAGAGAACACCGGGGGTCAAAGTGGAGAGGGGGACATGGGGCGAGAAGGAGGAAAAAAAGAGGGAGAAGAAATAGAGGAGGAGGAAGAGGAGGAGGTGGGAGAGGAGGAAGAGGAGGAGAGAGAGGAGGAGGAAGAAAAGGAAGAGGAGAGAAGAGGAGGTGGTACAGGAGGGGGAAGAAGAGGCAGGAGAGGAGGAGGGAGGAGAGGAGGAACAGAAGATGAAGAAGAAAAGCAGGAAAGAAGAGGAAGAGGAGGAGGAGGGAAAGGAGGAGGGAGAGGAGGGAGGAGAGGAGATGAAGACAATCAGGGAAGAGGAGGAGGAGGAGGAGGAGGAGGAGGAGGAAGGCGAGGAAGAGGGAGGAGGAAAAGGAAAAGGGGAGGAGGAGGAAGACACCCGGCCTTCAGAAGGGGCGTCAGCTGGCAAAGGAAGGAGATTGGGACAGAAAAGACAAAAAGCAAGGGAAGAAAAATAGAGATGGGGCGGGGGAAGTGGGGGACTGGTTCGGACAGTGGCAGCCACCCCTCCCCCCTGCCAGGGTCAGGCAGTGCTCCCCAGCCTGTGCCCAGCCGTGGCTAATGGAATGATTGCTTGGTGGGGCGGGAGGGGAAGGGGGGTGGGGGACCTTGGGTGACAAACGAGCCACCCTAGCCACTGGCTGACGTGATGGATGACCAGGCTGGAGACCAGGAGGCCCCTGAGATAAATGGTTCCTTCTGCTGTGGCCAGGCCAGGCGGGGACGATCCGGGGTGTGGAGAGAGCCAGGGAGGGAGATGGCAGGACACAGAGATAGGGTGACAGGGAGAGAGAGACAAAGAGAGAGACAGAGAGAGAGGCAGACAGAGTAATAGAGACAGATAGATAGATGAACAGACAGAGATAGACAGAAAAAGAGACAGAGAGGCAGATAGAGACATACAGAGACAGAGAGAAAGGGCTAGGAACTCGAGGATCTTTGAGGATCATGAATACTCTGGGGTAACAGTTCCCATAGTCTAAATCCAAGTGGAAGAGTCTTGCCAGGGAGGTTGGTTTGGGAGGCCTAGGTGTCCCCATGTACTCAGCAAGGGCAAATGGTGGGTGCAGCCTAGAGCCTTTCCCTGGGTAAAGCGGGGTAAGCTGTGCCGGGATCGGTCACAAAGGAACAGTCCCACACATCCTCACAGCCAGAGCCCAGCACAGATTCCAAGCCCCATCCAGACATCTGTGCAACAGCCCAAACACCACCCCAAATGCCACTGGTGCAGGGTGAGTGTTCCTGGGCCAGGCCTGGCTGGCACCTGCTCCTCTTCTACCAGTGACAGGGTCCCAGGCCCATGGAAGGGAGGCAGCAGGAGTGAGATGGCAGGAGCTCAGGAGATGGACCGGCCAGGGAATGAGTGTGTGTGTGTGTGTGTGTGTGTGTGTGTGTGTGTGTGTGTTAGACAGACTAGAGGTGCAGGAGCTCTGCCACCCTCCTCCCTGAAGCTGCCCGCCTCTGCCATCAATTTCTCCCCCAGACACTATTATTCTTTCTTTCCCAATGTGCCGTCCCTTTCATTAATTAAAAAGATTTATGCCCAGGAGCCCCAGCCTCTGTCCCTTGATGAAGCTGTGCTCAGAACAACAGTAGCTGCTGTCTGGAGTCTCTGTGGCCACCCCTCTTGTCTCCCTCTGTCCCCTTCCCCTTTTCCCCCACCACTTCCATTAAAGTGGCCACACCTCTGCTGAGAATCAGCTCCCCAGCCAGGGGTGCAAAACAGGCCTGTTACGCAGCACTTCCAGGCTGAGGCAGGAGGGTCAGAAGTGCAAGGTCATCCTCAGCTATATAGTAACTTGGAGGCCAGCTTGGGCTACATGTATCCTAAATAATAGTGGAAGGGAGCTGGGGATGTACCTCAGCTTAGAGAGCACTTGCCTGGCATGCAGGAAGCCCTGGGTTCTATTCCCAGCACTGAATAAACCAGGTATGATGGTTCATGCCTTTAATCCCAGCACTCAGGAGGCAGAGGCAGGCAGATGTCTATGAGTTCAAGGCCAGCCTGGTCTACATAGTGAGTTCCAGGCCAGGTGGGGCCACAGGGAGACCCTGTCTCAAAAAGACCAAAACAAAAGCAAACAAATAAACAACAACAACAACAAAAAAAAAACCCCAAGAGATCCTGTCTCAAAACAAAAATAAAAAACTTCATGCTCCCATGAGGGCAAAAGTGTACCCTCCCCAAGACACACAGATCAAGGCTGGGGCCCAGACTACCAGGTCTCCTGCCATGAATCTGGGAGATGGGGTGGGCAGACAGAAGATCTTTGCCTCTATAGTTTAAAAGTGATTTAAATTCATTTTCTAGCTGGGTGTGGTGGTGCATACCTTTAATCCCAGCACTCAGGAGGTAGAGGCTGGCAGATCTCTGTGAGTTTGACACCAGCCTGGTCAACAGCGAGTTCCAGGGCACCCAGGGCTACATAGTGAGACCCTGTCTCAAAAAAAAAAAAAAAAAAAAAAAAAAAAATGGGGCCGGAGAGATGGCTCAGGGGTTAAGAGCGCTGACTGCTCTTGCAGAGGACCTGTGTTCAATTCCCAGCACCCACATGGCAGCTATGAACTGACTTTAACTCCAGTTCCAGGGGAATCTGAAGGCCTCTTCTGACCTCCTCAGCAATGCATGGCACGGGTGCACTCACATACATGCACACAATACACTCAAACACATAAAATAAAAATAATTAAAAAAAATTTTTTAATTACTTTTCTATTCCAGAATACCTATGTGGGGTTGTATGTGTGTGACCAGACCCCTCCCCCTACCTAACTTAAAGGATCAAAAATGGACAGAGCTGCTGGGGGGACCTCCACTCAGTGTGAGGAGCCCATACTTAGACAAGGCCCCTTGGAAACCTCAACCTGCTCGCTAGAGCCCTGCCTTGTTGCAGAGACAGAAGGTTATGCTGGGAGTGAGCCTGAACTCCAGAACATCCGGAGATGGTCATGAGTCAGGATCTCTGGGTGTCCAGGGTGACAGAGAACAGAATCAGGACAGAGAGGGGCAGACCCTGGGAAGCCAGGGGGATAGGAGCTGAACCCAAGGAAGGCAGAGGGACTCCAGGAGTGTGAGGAGAGCCAGGCCCCTTCCTGCCTCCCTGCAGGTCCTCCCTCGGCTGCCTTCCACTCAGTCTTCCACCACAGATGAACGTCCCCGCCATCCATCATGTTTCAGGCCCGCCTCACCTGTCACCCCCTTGCCCTCTGCCACGGGGCTTTTATTTTATTTCCAGCTGAGAAGATGAAGGAGCCCAGGCTCTGTTTATGGGAGACATAAAATGTACCTTCAGCGAGCCCAGCAGGACTCTCACTACCAACAACCAAAGTGGAGGAGAGAACCTCTGCTCTCTGCCAATGGTTTTCTCTCTAGGTCTCTGTCCCCTCCCTGTCTCTGAGCCTCTGTCTCTTTTTCAGTATCCCTTCTTCCTCCTTTTCCCCCTCCTCCTCCTCCTTCCTCTCTCTGTCTCTGCATCTGTCTCTGTCTCTCTGTCTCTGTCTTTCTCTGGTTTTTGGAGACAGAATCTCACTATATAGCTAGACCGGCTTCAAACTCATGATCCTCCTGTCTCATCCTCCTGAATACTGGGATTACAGGTGTGTGCTACCATGCCTGGCACAATTCCTTTTTATGTCACTCGAAACCCACTTCAACACTCATCTTAGGACTCTGATAGGAATTCTCTGCAACATAGGAGGAGCCAGACCCAAAATTTACCCTCAAGTCTGGAGGTCCTGCTCATCCCAGGAGCAGTTGCTAAGCACCTTCTAGAAGGCAGAGGTCTGAGAGAGATACAGGGTCTCGG